AAAAAAAAATAATAATAAAGTTCAAATACCATTAATTCTTCATTAATAATCATTTTACAAATAATTTCATGTACTTGTTTTATTGATAATTCAAACATGTCAGCTAAATTTGGTATTGAAATAGAATCAAACATCATAGTATTCGTAATTAAATATATACGTAATGATTCTTCTTTTATTTTATTAATAAGCATTTCGAACACTTTTGTTCCTTGTGGCATTAAACTCCATATCTAAATACATATATTTTGAATAAAATTTTCATTCTAGGAACGTTACGAGGAAATTTTTTCAGATGTCCATGCCTTTCTTAGGTTTACTTGAGAAAATCAATTATCGAATTCGTACTTAAAATTTTGTATAGAGAATGTATTGGCTAAGAGTAATTTATTCTTAAAATTTCGACGTTTATTGATATAATATGAATAACTAATGTCAAAAATACTTCTATCGATCAACTTACTTGTTTATTCATTTTATTATTAATTAAACAGTTAATACATCTATTCCAATCGCCTATTTTCAATGCATGACTAGTTGCAATAATATGTTCACGCATTGTTTCCATTGATTCAAAAATTAGTTGTTTTTCACCTTGATTCATTACAATATGAAAATGTTTACTCATTGATTGTTTATCTATAGATGAAATTTCAATAAACATAGCTGATATTAAATAAATACATTCAATTAATTGTACATTAATATGCATATGAAATGGTAATAAATATTGTTGTTTATTCATTTCAGAATTATTTCGAATATTAATATCTTGTCCTAATAATTCTTTCATACGATTTGCTGGTTGTAAATTCATTAATATTTGATATGCTTGATGTATTTCACCAAAACGAAATGCACATAAACCTAATTGAACCATTGTTCGATTATATAAAATTTGTGTAGAAATATTTGAATGATATATTGTTTCTTGTATGTGACTCATTAATATTAAATTACGTGCTTCATTATAATTATCATGTAATGATAAATGATAAATATGATAAAGATTTGCTTGTGTACGTACATGATTTAATGTATTATTTGTATAAATATATTTACAAAGACGATCCATTAATGAAATCGAAGATTGTTCTGATGTTTTATCATATTTATAATAAATATGTTCCATAACACATAGATAAATTGTACATAAATGTTCTGGTTGAATAATTTTATTATTTTCATGAGATTTTAATTCGAAATAATTTTTTAATTGATTAATTATTGAAAAAATACGTAGTTCATCTTTCAATCGTTCGATATAATTTTGACTCTGATGATCAATATTTCGTAAAATTTTTTTAAATTCTTCATTCATTTTCACAATAATGATTATCATATCATCATGAAGATTATACAATAACGATTCTTCCTATATGATAAACAAAAAGTATATAGAAAAATCCAAATAAATGATGTATAGTTAGTTGCACGCTGAATATTACAGAAAATATTAGAAAGATAGAAATAGGAATATGATGTCTAAATTCTTTTGTTTTCGAATTTCTACCGTTTTCTCAAGTGTTTTAGCTGGAAATGGAGTCTTTCCAATCGAATTCATTGACCTGCGATTGGGCATGATTATCATAATACTGTTTCCAACTTCCTAACATTGTATAACCATACAATGATATCTTTCCTCTGAAATTATGAACCTAAGAATGTAATCCTTTTTTTTTGTTTACCTTTAGATATTCAGTAATATCTATATGATTATTGTCAGATATTAATGTTACTAATTCTTCAATACAATCAAGAATACTAAAAAAGACAAAAAGAAACAAGATGATAAGAAGAATATTTATTTCTTTTTTACCGTGTCCATATTTCGAATTTTGAATATTCATTTTCTTTTTGATAATAATCAAAACTAATTGTAATTTGTATTAATAAAATTTTCATATCAATTTCAACAGTTAAATTTCGTTTTTTAACATATTGTCGAAGATTAGTTAAATATTCGAATTGATCATAATAATTTGTAGTATGTTTACCACACATAGAAATAATTTCATTTAATTTTTTCAAAATTTCTTCATATGAAATTTCTTCATCGTTATTAAATTTTTCAAGTTTTGGAATCTAAATTTAACAAAAAATATTATAAATTTATAAAGAATAAATTCATAGAATTTTACATCTTTTTTTAATCTTTTTTCATCGGATAATTGAATAGGTTTAGGTATTTTTGTTGGTCGTTTAGTAGTAGTTTTATTTTGACTATCAGGTTTTCGATTTAGAAAATAAAAATATAGATCAGTTTCTTTTAAATTGGCGTAAGATTGATTTAGTGATAATTCATCATCACTTGAATCACTTTGATTATCCTGAAAGAAAATACTTAATATTTATTTTTCATAAATATTTTCTTACATTTTCTTGTTTCAAAGTTATTTCTTCTTGATCTTCATTAATTGATGAAGTTTCCTTGATTTCAACTACATCATCATCTAGTTTCTAGAATATAACTATGAATATATCAAACAGAAGAAAATTTCAATAACTAACTTCACGATATGCATTTATTTGATTTTGAAATGATTCTACTTGTACATATTGACGAAATTTTTGACGAAATATTTTCAAATTATTTGAATTCGTTTTTTTGAATTCATTACATTCATCTCTCTTATTCCAACACTATCAATAGTAAAAAAAAAAGCAAATAGAAGAATAAAATTTATGTACAATTGATATTAAATACTTCATTAATAAAATCTTCAAGTTGTACCAATATTTTTATATAAAATCGTGATATTACTAAAAACTAATATCAAAATAATTAATCTAATTTTTTTTTTTTTGATGTTGTTACTTTTTTCTTTTTCTATTATTCGACGAGCTTTATCATATACTTTGATTAAATTTACAAAACCTATGTATACAATTATCATAAAAATAGAAATATAATTCAAAGAAAAAAACATACATTCATAAACTTGATTAATATCACGTATAGATATGACTTGTTTGATTGTTTTAATATTTTCTGTTATTTCTTCATATCTACAGAAATAAAATAAAATTATTTATGTCATTCTTAATATTTTAAAATATGATTACTGTTTATCTTTTTCACTTCGAACGATACGTTTAGCATTTTCTTTATCATTATTATTGCTAATAAAATATGATTTTGTAAAACTGAAAATAATATCAATATAAATAAGAAAAAGATTTACTTTCATAAAAGAAACACTTACGACTTCGTTGTTTGAATTTTTATTTGTTGTTCATCATTACTGTTTTCTTCGTCTGACGAAGAATTTTCGTCTGCAAAAAAACGATTTTTATTCATGACTTATTTTTAATTTAAATAAAAATTCATCTTACATTAGTTTTTATGTTAAAGTAATATAATTTTGAAATACATAGAAGACTTTTCTTACATGCCTTTGCATCCTAGTTATTTCTACTAATAGTTTCATTGATACGATTAGAAATACGAATCGACATCCAAAGATTGTTGTTTAGATAATTTCAATAGAGAGCGGTAGATGTCGATGACAATCATATGAACAATATTTTGTTCACTTCAACTAAATAAATGCATACCGATCAGTTTCAGTAACTAAATATCAGAAATCGATAAAACGTGAAACAAACCTATAATATGTAAAACCTTTCTATTGTGAATGCTACCAGGACAATTTTTATGAAAGTGTTCACTATGCAGAAATGTTTAGTTTAGAGAGTTGACGTATAGTTTGATGTGCAATGAAGAAAAGATTTCAATAAACCTGCTGGTTTAATATTCTTAGATTGTTTATTTTCTTGTTCATCTAAAAAATAAGAATTGAAAGATTTTGCAATAACAATGTAAATTTTATTTTGGAAAAAAAACTCTTTAAGAGTATTCGTCTTTCTTTTCTAGGTGAAATTCAACTAAGATGATTGTCTATCAGCAAGCATTGTCATCACTGGGTGACAACAATTGAGAAGTACGGAGGTCTCTACTCCTACCGAAGGAGTACCCTCATTTTTTCTAATTCATTGAGAAAAATTTATGTGAAAACTTAACAAGCAAGAATTTAAGAAATCAAACTCTGTCAAATCGTAGTGACAAGTAATGATTACACATTACTTTTAATTCGAAATCTTGAACAAATAAATATGTTGGCTAAATTTAAACTGTAAGGTTTCTAGGTCCTAATACGTATTACCGGAAAATTTCAGCGAAGTCGATTGTTTTGAGGCTAAAATAGGTTTCTGAACACTCAGTCTCGAGAAGTAACCATAGGAGTACTATTTCCTTGATATTTAAACTTATTTGCGAATGAAGACATTTCGTACATGACACTATGGACTCATTTTATTAATCTTAATGCAAATGTTCACTATCTTATATTGTTTTGTTTGGAATTTTGTGAAACTTATTTCGTTGTGCAGAGTCTAGAAGAAAAATCTTAGAAATCGATATATGTAATCATAATCTCGAATAACCGGTTTACTATTAGATTTTGCAACTAAACTGCCGATGAAGATTTCGATCTTGTGCTGTGTTGTCTGTATATAGATAAGAGAAAAAAAAGATTCTTTTTTGTTTTGTTCTCGTTCTTTTTGCTTCCTCATCGTCAAAAGGCCAGCAACTCTCATTAAAAATTATCAGATCTTGTCAACCAACATATGGACCTCTTCATTGTATATTTACTCTTGGTTCTTCACGTTTCGTTTTTTTTTTCTTTCTTTGAGATTACGGTAAATATTTGTGCATTGGCTTTGACTGACAAATCCAAATGGTGAATGCTACTATTATTTTTTTATTCTCTGATAATATTCAAATAGAACATGAAGCTTTATCGTAAAAATACAAAGAATAAAAAGATTTCATTGTTGAAGAGTATTGACATGAAGAACGTCGAAGAAATTATTTGTGACTTTTTTCTGTTATTGTTCATTGAAGTGCATCCATACTTCTTTTAGTAACCAGTATAAGAGGCAAAACGAGGTGGAACAGTCGTGATAATTTTTTTTCTTTTTTAGATCATTATATACTAATGGAACGCAACAATGAAGCGTACATGCCGCACAGTGTACCAAAGTTTTCGGCTACTACGTTCAATAATGCAAATTTCGGCATGGAATATTTCAAATCAATTGATTGTTTAGTTGTCAAGCATATGTTTTCCTGTATGGAAGGTAAATCAATAAAAATAATGATATAAACAATTTCTTTTTCTTGTTGTGATTTTTTTTCTTAGCATGGACTGGTATTGCAATGCAGGCAAAATATGACATTTATAATCAAAATGGTGAAAAAGTGTTCTATGCAATTGAAGGTAAAACTAATTATTTGATTGATGTCATGAATATATGTTTTTATTAAAGAATCAACCTGTTGTCAACGTGTGTGGTGTACAAATACTCGTGCATTTCTTCTTCATATTCTTGATAATAATAACCAGGCTAGTGAAAAAAAATATTCCATTGATCTTATTTCGATTTATTAGGAATTGATTCAAATACGTCGTGAATTTACATGTTGCTCAGGATGTTGCTGGTGTGGTAGTTGTCCATCATGTATGCAAGAAGTCGTGGTCGAAGCACCACCAGGCAATGTTATTGGAATAATTAAACAAGAGTAATATTTATTATTCAACAAATCATTGAAATTAATTCATAGAATTTTTTTCTCATTTAGAGGTAGTAGTTGGCGAATGAACTATGTAATTAAAGATGCCCATGAACAACCTATATTAAATATCATCGGTCCATGTTGTATCTGTGATGGACCATACTCATGTTGTTGTGAGAATAAATTCACTGTACGTAATATTTCATTTAAAACTTTGAATAATTTTTTCGAAAGCAAAAAAGTTTATTTTTTCTGTTTGACCTAAAATTCAATTGAATCTTATTCAATATTTTATTTATAGTTATTTGGTAGTGATCGAATAACAGAAATTGGAGCTATTTATAAAAAATATTCTGGCTTTCTTAAAGAAGCTTTTACAAGTTCTGATGTTTTTTCAATGCATGGTGAGTGTATGGATTTATTTTGAAAAATTCAAAGACTAATTTGTGACATTGATAAATGCACTATTCATTTATGTTAAAATTTTGAATGGATTTTGTCACAAAAAAGTTGATAGAGATTTCGAATTTACACGAAATATCTTATATGAATAAGAGATCTGAATCTATTGTTGTCGTCATACTAAAAAATTCTACCACTTCTTGTGCTCAGAATTTGAATTTTACTTACCCAATCTTCGTTTAAATGGTCGAGAAATTCCTCTTTTATTATTGTAGTACCAATCAATATGGATGTCAAGGCGAAAATGCTCGTGCTTGGTGCTTTGTTTTTGATTGTAAGAATACTACTAGTAATAATCTTCATGTTTGCATTCTAATTTTTTTTTTCATAGGATTTTATGAATTTTTCATTAACTCCTCAACAACAAAGCTGAATGTTCTTTCATCAAACAAAATAACATTTTGATTGAAACTATCTAGGTAGTCAGGAGCTTCCGAAAACACTCGTAAACGTTCATACAATTTAGATTCTGTGTATGTAAACACAAAATATGTGCATACACATGCTTAAAACTTGCACTTTTGAACAGCTTTCACAACCACTTTTTCAGAAGAGCGTTTACATACGTTTTCTGAAATTCTTGTCTGCTTGAGTAATCATACTTTTTATGGTAATATGCACTGCTCGCTTTAGTATTTACTTCTTTATATATTCATATGTACGTAATGAAATCTATAAAGAAAATTGGAAAGAAGAATTTTGATTGAAAAATTCGATCGCAGGCATTATTATCACTCGTTCTAGTCGGACAGAATTATGTTTATACTGAAAATAAATGACAAATTCAATGGTTATGCATAACAAGTCCAAAGCTCAATAATCGTATGTAAGCAATGGATTTTAGCAACTACTGGAACTTATTTTTTTGAGATTTTTCAATAAAGCATTATGCATTTTGAGGTAAATCAAATATAAGTCCTTAGTGCATATTTGTATGCATGCATTGCGGAAGTGCTAAAATCTTGACTTGACTCAATTCATACATACATGTCTACAGTACGGGTATAGTTTTTCTCCTAACCGACACCAACAGTCACACATGTTTTAACACTTCTAGATCGTGAAATTTCATTATCATCTTATTCATACCTTGTATTACATACAGAAAGAAATTCAATTATTATCTCGATCTTCAAGTCGCTTACTGAACGGTGGTAAAATTTCATCGTCAATGATATAACATCATGCAAGAAGTTATATATCATTAAATACAATTATTTGTTGACCTAAAGCTTCAGAAAACTAAATAAGTTAGTCCTAAACACATTTAAATAATTCTTTCTAGTAGGTATATTTATTAAACAACTTATATAAGGAACAATATCTTCTTAGCAATCTTATAAAGATTTTCATTTGTTGTATTCAATTCAAATTCACCCACCCTCCGAATTTATATTTATGTAATAAGTTGATGAAGTCATTACTTCTGGAGGCGATGCTTGTCAGGTTGAAGTCAATAAACTTCATTAGAATACGCTTTAAGTTATTTATTTTCGAAATGTCGCTAGCAGATGTAATAGGACTATAACAACACTTGAATAGATTTCAAGAAATTGCCTTCCCAAGAATTACTTTTCCAGAGATTTACTTATACACCAGAACGAGACTTCTTATTTTAATCTCGTTGTGAGATTGTCAATAAAGATTTGTACATTCGAAAAATGATTTTTCAACTTCTCATTTAGTTACAAGAAGATTTTTTCGTGTTGTTCTTGTATTCATTTAGGTCGCTAACAATGAATAATTTCAGTTTTTTTAAAAACTTAAGCATACACTCAGGAAAATGTTTTTTTTTGTGTCACTTGAATAACGTTAATTTTTCAATAATAATTCAATATACATCGATTGTATAAAGTTTAGCTAAAATAAAGTTCAGAATCTAATGGTTTATGCATTTTTATTTTTCGTAATTATGTCACTAACGAATGACATTCCTCATATATGTAGCATTTAAAGTTTATTAAGTCAGTCATTTAAATAAATGAGATTGATGTATTGTACCTAAAGGTTTTGATTTTAAATTATCATAATTTTAAAGTCATGAATAAATACTTATGATTAAAAAACTATCTAGAATTATTAATTTTTTTTTAAAAACACAATCAAAATATTATCACATCCAAATAAGTAATCGATGTAACACCTTATTAAAAATAGCTTCAAATTGCTGCTCACAAAGAACGGTATTATGTTTTAACCATAGATTTGCATCTGTATTTAACTTTTCAAAGAACTGTCCAGTGATGCATAGACCAACGAGTTTATGTTCTTTGAATTCTGTTAATAAACATGCTACCATTGATTCACTCGAACATGATAATACAACTTCATGTTTCTGTTCATCGAACTGAACAAGTGCGCTTTGTACTGTAGATTCGTTAGAAATATTATCGTTTGAGATTTTTTTTGTGCTAGGTGATAAATGTGCTAAATTGACATACAAATCACGCAGTCGAAAGAATGTAGAAGCAATAATAGGTATGTGCTCTTCATTGAGTGTTACTGATGATGGTTTCGTTAGATTTTCGAGAATGGAAAGTGACGTAATTCGTGGACCAAGAAGATGTCGTATTTGTTGATTTTCAATGAATTGCCATAAATAATCAAAAGGTAAATCCAAGCGAAAAACATTAGATGCAGCATTGAGAAGAACTGAAAAATGGTTTAGATCAGAGGATATTGGTCCATGAAAAGCGATTTGAATAAGCCGAGATAATTTAGGAACATGAGGTATTGGACATTGTTCTGCTGAAAATAGTTAAATACATTAGGAAGAATAATATTTATATTTCAAAGTGAGAGCTGATCTCAGTTTGTAATCAAACATGGAGAATTGAGAGATATTAGTTTTTCTATGTCGTTGCCATTATATCTGTAGTAGGTCTCAATATACTATCACGTATCTAGATAAACAAAGCAGCACTGATATCGAATAGTTCCTAAAGCTGTAACTTGATTAATTCACAGTTTTTTTTTAATATTAACCATATACCGATTGTCGCACACCCATGCATCATTACTCACTATTGTTGACATCTTGAATATAGATTTTTATCTGTGCAAGAATCAAGAGAAGACTTTTGAATGTTCTAGAATAGTCTAAATCTTTCTGAGAAACACATCCAATGCCCATTGAACACTCCCATAGCCCATTACAATGAGAGAGAAAAGGGAGCAGTAAAACTTCAATTTAACACTTACACTCACTATGTAATTTTTTATGAAATTTTATTGACTCAAACGATGCTTTTTCATTCTACAATTCTCATGTTTCTTATGCAGGTTTGACAGATATTCATAGTCATTTGTGCGTCATTAATATCTGCTTTCAACGTACATACCTGTAACGGCATCATCAGTATTTCTCACGTAAAAAGTCATTTCTCTGACTTGACGACATTGTGATATCATTCCTAAAGATTTGGTTAAAGTAAAACTTTTGTCGATCGTTACGTCCAACTGTTCAACACTACTATCATAGCCAGTCATAGTATTCGTTTGGCATGACATTATTTTCTTGATGAACGTTGGAAATGAAATACGAGCGAGACGCCAAGGTAACGTATGCATAAACAAAAATGTATCTTTGTAGAAACATGTAACTGGATGAGATGTTGGCCATGAGGTGATAATTTCATCAATTTCATCAAAAGATATATGATGATAAAAATAAATACCATAATCAAGTTGTTGAACAGTGGAAGGAAGTACAGAAAGAATTGTGTCGCCTTCGATCAGACGTCTATCGTCGGTGGAAAGAAAAAGTGATAAATGCCGCACTATGGGTAATTGAGCAAATACTACACATAGTTTTTCGAGCATCCATAATTGCTTAGTAGATATCAGTTGGAAATGAGTAAGATAAAATAGAGGAGATAAAGTCAATTCATCAAAATATTCCCATAAACCCTCACTATCATCAAGTATTACGTCTAGATATTGAACATTAGGAACAGCATGAAAAAGAGATGATAAATCTACCATTGTTCTTAACTTGATACGCAAACGAAGGACATTGAAATAACAATCATCATGATGAAAATGTAAAGAACTTGATTGATCATCGATATATATTGTTGTGATTCGATGATTATTTGCTTGAATTAATGATCGAGCGACTGTTATTTGATTAGTTTTCTCAATTGGAAAGAGACTATATAGACGAATCTCAACAAGATAATATAAATCATGTAGAGCATCAAGAAAAGCAATTAATTGATTGTATTGATAGGAAACAAGACTAATTTTTTCTAGTTTAGGAAATATTATTGACATTGTCTTACCAAAATATTTAATAAATAAATTATCTTGTAAGATAGAATAACAACAATCAATGAGTAATGATCGAATTTGAAAACCAATTTGGGGTAGAATATTTATACATAAATAATCACTTGTTAAAATAGATGTTTTATGCAATGAAATATGATGACGATATTCAGTGATCATTTGTGTTATTCGATTGTTAAGTCCAGTGAAAGATAGGAGAATATCAGTACATAATAAATATTTACAAGTTTCTAAAAGAATCTCATCCGGAAGCATTTCCAACGTTGATTGACTACAAGAAGTTTCCATCTGAAAAAAACCGTTAGGGTCGATTGTTAACGAAAATTGTATGATGATATTCTAGAAATATGATATGAAGTTTTATAAAATTCGTAGGTATAAAACCTCGAAAATAGAATTTGAAATCATTCTTTGTTCATTTCTTTCGATACATCATCAAATAATACTATTTATTTCCATTTGTGTTTGAATAAACAACTACAAAACATGTGTGAAAGAAGTCTTCATGATATTTGAAGATTTGTAAAGTCTGCTATTTCTCTGTGGCATTTTTACATGAAACATCTACATGTATAAACCATATTTCTGTTTCTATTTTGAAAAATAAGTGTTTAGATATTGTCTAGAAGAATCTTGCTTATCAGTTTGCTTATCTTTGAAACATAAAAATATCAA